TAGGAAACCGATCGTGCCAACTGCCTTTAACTTTTCGTTGGCGACAGTTCTATCCTGAAGTGATGTTTATGTCAAGTGATGCGCAAGTCGTGGGATACCGTGTGGTAGGCAAATATGGATTCATTTCATATGATTTTTCCAAAGAACCAAACGGATGAGAAAAAGGGGATGAGAAAGTTGTCTTGAACACCTAATATTTGAACTGAAAAGAATCCGAGTGAAAGTGTTACCATTCAGAACCACTGAGCGAAGGCAAGGGATGGAAATCCAAGTTGAGTGGGGCGTTGAGAAAGCTCGAAACCAAGCTGGAACACCATGAAAAGGTATAGTTTTTCTTCGCTTTTATAGTGACACACGACTTTTCTACACCCCAATTGCACAACAGTTGCTATGTGTTGTCAGTGCTGTAACCGCTGACCACTTGAATAGTAATTCAAGAGGTCCAAGGAGATTTCCGCGACAGGAAACTTTTCAGAAGCGAGCTATATCGTGAGCGACGCTGTCCGTCCCACATCACTAGTTTGACTGAATCCTTTCACTTGATGAATAGAATCAGTTCAAAGCTCATCCAGGGTGGCAATGGGTGCATCATGTTGTGCATAGACTGCGTTCTGCTGATGACTATGCAAGCGAAATGTTCCTTCGACAAATGTGCCTGTGCCTCTGTGACCCCGTTTCAAGTCGTGGATTACAGGGCTCGATGGAATTTCCAGGTGCTATCAATTCACAGCTGAAGAAAAAAGAGGACAGAACTATGAAAAGTTCTCGTGATGAGAGCGCCCTCCATTTGAAGTTGATTTCGGGCAGTGGACGACGATTCGAGGAAGCGAGAGGAGCAGAGGACACTGAAAGGGTGAACAAAGGATCAGGGAGGTAGCATCTACAGCCGGGGGGGGGACCAAAAAAAGACTTTGGCCGAGTAGCATATCAGTAAGGTTTACGCAGCCCAGATAGAAGATGTGGATACGAATACCAGGGCATACCCAAGATGTTCCTCAATAAGCGAGAGCAGGTTCTCGTCCATAAACGCGAAAATATGAAGCCATCTGCAATCGCAGCCGAACTGAAGAAGGCCTTATGGAATTCACGTCACCTCCAAACAGCTGCGAAACTTCTGTATGGAGTCACCCATGGATAGCTACCTGGAGACCAGTACTCTTGATCTGGAAGACCTCCATCGAGCAGCTCCGACAACGTCGCTATTGGTCCCGAATATTGCACTCTCTCTCTGACAGTCGCCAAGGGCGCGGCTTTTGATGCTTATGGAATGGAAAGTTTCTTTGATATGGGAAGCCAACATTCTCTTCGTAAAGAACCCTGGACTAAAGGTGAGCTGATGGTTGTACCGAACAACTCGTGGATAATGTCCTGCCTTCATGTCATGGCCTGCACCTTCTTCGAAACTTTGTACTGCTACAAGATTGGGTGCCCCACGCGTAATCGAAGGGCGTTGGAAAAACTCTCGCCTACTTGGAATGGAAGAGCTTCGAGCACCTGAGGTAATAGGAATATCAAGTGTGCCACCTGACCTAAACCCCTTGATTACCGGGTTTGGTCGGAGCTCAAATAGGGTGTGTCTGCAGAGGGCAGAAATTAAGACTTCGCACAGCTTGAGACCGAATCATGGTCGCGTGGCCAGAATCTTGTCGATGGGCGTTATACAAAAGTCTGGCGGCGTTCCGGCTAGTGTAAAATGTTATCGTGTATCTGATGGTGGAAAGGTCAATAATTCGATAACAGTGTACTATACCGCCTGAATAAGGCTTGCATAAGCTTCACTTTATCCAGAAGGAGGAATTACAGTAACTTCACAGTCGAGAAAAGTGTCCTTTTTGAAGCCATCCCCTGTTTATACTAGGATGACAGCTCTCTGTGCTCCCATACTCGTCACCTAGTCGCAGAAGTGGTTCGACTTATGCGATTGCTGACAGGGTCTCACTCCACGCACAATTATTCAAAGTACTGAAACTCAGGTTTTTAGGGTAGGTACACCTGCGCCCCAGTTCCCTGGCATGGGGATGGGACAGCTGCGTACCCCATTCAAACGTGATGCCGGCTGTGCTTTCTGTGAAACATTACCAGTTTGAAGCTATGGATCATTCTGTTAAGAACAAGAAAGGGTGATAAAGGCACTTAGTCAAGTGATGTACACGGCCACGCCTTCTCTCCAGGGTATGATGTTCACATTAAGTGACATTTCCAGCATTCTGAAGAGGTGCCGCACGAAGAAACGTTTGTGAACAAGTTGTTCCGTGAAATCATCGGACCTTTCCTCCTCGAACGTAGCACACAGGTTCGTTCCCAGTAGAACCACACCCATGAATCGGAATTTGATCTTGCAGTTCTTTTTCAGGTATGTGCTGTTCTACTCTATATAATCTATTTGACTCTGGCGATTATTGGCTGCCTGCATATCAAGGAGGGTCTTGACCCGAGATTTCTCGTCCGGGAATCGTTCTACCTCAGCAACTTCTACAAGTTGATCTATGAGACATTCTGGTATGAAGGTGAGCCTGCACCTTTCTCCAGGCTAAAAGTCGCAGTGGTGCTATGCATATGACCCTGTAATTTTACACGACTGTTAGGCTGCGTTTGGATTTTGCGGCAGTGTCCACCAGCGTTCCGAGCGTCCAACAGCGTTTGCGAGGAAAGAATGGATATCGATCTAGCGTCTGCTAGCGTCTACCAGCGTCTCGAGGGCAAGGGAAGTATAGGTATCCATCTAGCGTCTACAAGCGTTTAACAGCGTCCACTAGCAACCGGGAGTAGAGTCTATGGTGCAATAGGAGAGTAGCAGACAGCTGGTAGAGAGTATGGGGGGGGGGGGGGGGGGAGGGATTACCATCTGTGTGCTCGCCATACTCACTATCAGCTGAGTATGGGGGGAGGGGAGGGGAGATTACCATCTGTGTGCTCGCCATACTCTCTATCCGCAGTCTGCTGTCCTCCTATTGCACCATACTCTCCACTCAGGTTGCTGACAGACGCTAATAGAAGCTGGTAGATCGATGACTATACTTCCCTAGCCCTCGAGAAGCTGGTGGATGCTGGTAGACACTGGTGTACGTTGGCAGACGCTAGATCCTATCCACACTTTCCTAGTCGCTGACGCTGCCGGACGCTTGGAACGCTGGTGGACGCCACTGGTCGCTGGTGGACGCTGCCGCAAAGTATGATTGCAGCCTTAGGCTTATGCTTCAGGTCTTCAAATGCAAGTGGTTGTGAATCAACCTCCGGACCTTTTTAATACGACAATGAGAGCAAGGTTCGCAAAAATGATGGCGGGTGAGGATCTTCGCGTCTTAAAATGTTTCTTTTCTACACTTTATGGTTATTTCGGGGTATCTCACTGCAGTCTATTTTCAAAAGAATTCCACGACAAACAAAACGCGATTCTTCAGATTTTGAAAACACCAAGTATACAATGAACCACAACGCAACGATGATTTGGTTGGATGCGTATGAGACGCACTTGAACAGAGAGAAAACGAGCTGAACATCGAGAAGCCGGTCAAGTAAGTTTAAAAACCGCACTCTTTTACATCCTTTCCATTCCTGTTCCCTTTCAGTTTCCTCAAAATACTTGACTAATCTGTAATTTTTCTGTGTTGCTGGTGCTATAGAAAATGTTGCTGTGTCTTGAAAGCCGTTAAAATCCGAAATCAGATTCGATTTTTTTTCTTTTTAGCTCTTCCGAGTGGTATCATCGATGCCGTGACTGGCTGTTGGTAGCCGGTGGTCGACGGCTCTGGGAAAAGGACATGGTATGGGGACAAAGTGAAGAGGTCCCTTCTTTCAGTCGATTTTTTCTAATTCAGAACTATAATGTAATAACATAATAGCGAACTATAATATGCGGTCAATACCTCAGCGCTGGGAGAGAGTGTCCATGGCTTTTTATTTATTGTGAGCGCAACTGGGCGGACAGCTACCGGTTGAAATAGTGGAGATGGGAGATACCTAAATGATTCTTTCACTGCCTATGCTCATTTCTGCATTCGTTATCTATCCCTTACCGGGAGTGGCATTTGCCCTTTATAATGGGCTTGTGCGCAACACCATCCGTTTATGCGAGCGCTACGTCGGATCTTTTGGGTCTCTCTTCTGACCAAAATGGGCAAAAGTATGGAAAGAAAGCAAAAGGCTGAGGTATAGGAAAGTCATTCATCAGGTTGGTCTGGAAGTAATCACTAGAAAAACTAGAAAATCTTCCCAGTCCCGAAGTTTACAGGACCTGGATTGGAATTTCGTGGTACGCCTCTCCGAAACTGGGATGTGCAACTCCTGAAGCTTAAGAACATAGACCATGTTGCTCTATGCTTTATGGAACTGTCCATCCCCACGGGGTAGAGCCCTTGCTAGTGAAAACTGATGAACATAATTGGGAACTGTTGGGTCGTTTTGCAGAGTAACATGCTTCTTCTGACCTGACCCAGTCTGGCTTTCTTTTATTTCGTGCAGTGGAGTTGCATGTGCGAAAGAAAGAAATTGCTGATCAGAAAGAGCTGGAAAGTGAGATGTTGAGCTTCCCTGACTCTTGTCGCCAGTTTGGTGAACTAGTGGAATTGAGAGTCTGGTGAAACGCTGAGCATTGTGGGTCGTGATGGGCACTATTTTATTGATTGTTATCAACAGAAAATAAACCTGGAACTGCTTATAAATGGGGGAAGTTGATGCAAGAGCATCGCGACAACCAGATATTCCGAAGGGATGAAGTACGAACGTTTACGACTTCTGCAACTGAGTCAGAACCATGGGAGTGCTACGGTTGGATTACATGACGAGCGGGTTATGTTGGCCTTCATGGCTGTGGCATCGAAAGTCATTAAGCCGAAAAATAAAGATGGTTTTGGTGGTGTGGTGGAAGAGTTTGTGCCAACAGCTTCTGCACTGTTTTAGGTGTTTGACGGTTGTGGTCAATTTCAGGCAGGATTTCTACACTCTAAAGCGTTTCCGATTTCCATCGCTACCGCAATATTACCGCACACCAACAGATCACACCAACAGCTGTAAGCTCATGCGTGAAATCGCTTCCAGATACACCGATTTCAACGTCACTACCTTCCACGAGTACTATCCTTTTGCCGACCAGGTTGGTTTTCCTCTCAATACTGTTTGACAGCAGGAATCTATAATCTATATGTATAGTGAGTTCGGAAAGAAACCTTGCAGTAGTATTCTAACCCCGCAGATGGCAAGTACTAACTCATATTAGACGATGCTTTCTTATCAAAGGCTTGATCATGAGGATCAAAGCTCTCGGTAGGAAAAGGGCCGCAATAGACAACCTTGTACATGTTCCGCGTCAGAGAAAGTTGTAAGGTGAAAGCGTGCGGCGCAAGCATGCCAATTTCTCCTCCTGTCCTTGGGTGACTCCGCTCTCTCATGGTGCCCGCCGTTTCACTCTTTTGTATGCATTCTCGCTTCGTTTGAGTGTATTTCCACCCGAGATATCAACCTATCTTCACCTTCTCCCATGAATTGAGAGGGCCTCATTTAGAGCTGTTCCGACGGTTTGCTGTGCTTTTTTTCCACTGGTAGTCAAATAGCTCATACAGCTCTATTTTCTATCCTGCTACTCACGTCATGTCTTCAAGTCGTCGCCTGATATGCGCTAATATTAGGTTGTTCGAAAAATAACACAGGTTGTCGAGTACAGTTTCAAAAAAAATATCTCGGCGTTGGTTCCATTTTTGAATCGAGATAGCAACTATCACAGCAGATTTTTTCAAGAGCAACAAGTAGATCTATTCCCGTAATGTAAAATTTTGGTGACCTAGGGTTGATGAATTCAGGGAAGGTCTTTACACCTGATTTGTCTTCATGAAGCACTCCTCGCAAATAAAAAATTCAAATGCTTTAGGATTTGTTATCCAGTGCGAGAGGTGTTCTGTAAATGTGGTGGATGAGGTTAGACTCAGTAGCCCGTCTTCAATTTCTGCAGCACATGTGCGACGTGCGGTCGTGCGTCCCTGTGGACTAAGAAGACTCCTTTTTTCCTGACCACTGCCTGGTGCAGTACTGCGTTTAAAGACAAACTGTACGCTCATCTGCGTGGAAACTGGCCCTAGCCTTGTGGAATTTCGGCGTCGACTCAAGGGCTGTACTTAAAGATACCACTACCCACCGACTCCGTTTCCGCGTACTTTTGCATATTTGAGCGTGGAAAATGGCACTCTATTGCAGCAGGGCCCACTCACTCACCTCACACATTTGGTGAATATACCATTTTCACTTTAAATCGGACACTTTTCAAACCAAATCGGACACTTTTCAAACCAAATCGGACACTTTTCAAATCAAAGACACTTTTCAAATCAAATCGGACACACCCCTTACAATGGGCAGTTGAGAACTAGACCACTAAGTACTGCTGCAAGCCCCGCCAAAACACCCCCGCCCACTTCTTAGCACGGCCGTGGTTTTCCAAAAGGTTTTATGAACTCCGCTTCTTCAAATTTTTTTTCATTTTTGCTATTTGACACACACATACATTTAATTAAATAGGTTTGCTACCGATACATATATGACTCCGCCCACTTCACAATGCAAGTGACAAGATTTTTTAACTTTTTTCGACCTCGTTTTTTTCACATTCAATCTTCACAAAACGAATATAGTCATGCATTTACACACTAGCACACTAAGCCCGCCCCTCTGACCACGCCCACTTTCGTTTTTCGCGGAATTTTGATTTTTCTTCCGAATTTTCACTTTTTTAGGCTGTGACAAGCGGCCCCGCCCACTTTTCAAAAATGATGCAGATCGGCGAGCTAGTGACCGTACTAGCAGGTTATGGCCTCTCCCGTCACCCGGAACAAAGTTTCCCTTTTTTTCTGGTCTTTCCCTTTTTTTCATTCTATGTGACGGGAGAGGCCATAACCTGCTAGTACGGTCACTAGCTCGCCGATCTGCATCATTTTTGAAAAGTGGGCGGGGCTTCTACAAAGTGGGCGGAGCTTCCATTAGTGGGCGGGGCCGCTTGTCACAGCCTAAAAAAGTGAAAATTCGGAAGAAAAATCAAAATTCCGCGAAAAACGAAAGTGGGCGTGGTCAGAGGGGCGGGGCTTAGTGTGCTAGTGTGTAAATGCATGGCTATATTCGTTTTGTGAAGATTGAATGTGAAAAAAACGACGTCGAAAAAGTTATAAAAATTCAGAACTTACGTCACTTCATTGTGAGTGGGCGGGTGTGGGTAGCAAACCTGCTCAGTTAAATGTGTGTGTCAAGTAGCAAAAGTGAAAAAATTCGAAGAAGCAGAATTCATAAAACATTTGGAAAACCACGGCCGCGCTAAGAAGTGGGCGGGGTGTTGGGGCGGGGCTCAGCAGTAGTCTCCAACTTCTCTCTTCGTATAACCTCGGCATTGTTGTAACTTTGATGTTCTATTACTTCTGCGCCAACGAGGTTTGTAGGTGGAACTTTATTTACGGCCTAACGTTTCGACCAGATCGTCGTCCTCAGAGGCCAAGTCCACCGCGGCATGAGCGGATCAACGCCGCTCCACTAGATGTTAGTAATGTAAGAACAAGGCGCAGAAGTAATAGAACGATCAAGGTGTTTCTTGCCTTTGAAACCTTCACAACGGAAACACAACAGGGAATTTTTTTGAAATGACAAGCTCAAGAAACGTAGGGT